GATTACAGGCACGCACTACTGGGCCTGGCTCTTTGTCATCTTAGTAGAGGAAAAAGCTCCGGACCTGAGCAACCAGAAAAGGGTTAGAAATTTCCAGGCATATTGGCTCATATCTGAAACTCTAGCTACTCAGGGGAGGATAAGGCAAGGGAATTGCAAGAATAAGGCTAGTCTAGGCAACTTAGAGAGACCCTGCTTCAAAATAAAATTTAAAAAAATGTTTAAAAGGGTTAAGAACAAATGTCTTGGGCAATGTGACAGTTATTGAGATGACTAAAAAGGATTGCCAGGAAGCATTTAATACCATACAGAGGACAGAGTCCAAATGTGAAATTGATTTGATGAGCGATCTTTATAACTTTCACTAGCAATGCTTAAGCATGCCTTGAAGATTGTGTTGTTTACAAGAAAATATAACTAAAGGGCTGTATTCTCCTTTGTAGGATATTAGCACATCACATCAAGGAAATAGGGATGCTGGGGAAGGCAGTTAATGTGGCTTGCTGCAGAGGTTGGCCTTGTTAAACCTTGAAGGGCAAGGTTTCTGTCTTCTTTCTAACCTGTTCCCAAGCACAGCAAACTCCTCTTCAAGGTTGAGCCAGAGACTTCTTTGCTATTCATAGTCAGACTCTGGTGCTTTACAAGAAGGTTTGCTCATCTTGGAAAGCTGTTTTTTCCTTCCCCACAGCACTGGATTACAGTATGTGAATTAGCCCTTTCCATGTGTTCTAATTTTCAAGTTTATTTGCCAATCTCTCCTAGTGAGTTTTAAGCTTCCCATGAAGCTACATCTTATTCATTTTATGCCCAGTACAGTACTTAGCTCAATAAGTTTGCTGAATGGATAGCTTACTTAATTTCTTTATTTCCGATTCCCCTCTTTCAACCATGAGGAACTTGAAAAATGTTTATTGATTGAATATAGTTAAGTGAACAGGCATGTGGATATAAGTGTGTTATGGGAAAGATCCTTGTATTCAAAAATATGGGAGTTAGTTGAAGAAATAAAACCTGCATGTGAATATATGGCAAATAGAGGTAAGGGTCATGAAAGACCTAAGAATATCATACTATTGGAGTACAGAGGCGAGATATCACTTTTACTTAGAGCAGAATTCTTAACCAAAGCCCAGGCTCCTAAAAGGGATTTGGGAAGATCTTTGATCTTCCTAGAATTATAGTTGCAAAATTTTGTGTATAGGTGCATATGTGCAGAATTCCCTGGGAGAAGGGCCCATAAATTCTTAAAAGGACAGAAAGCCCCAAAAGATTAAGAACTACTGTAAGGAGTTCTCTTAAGTGGGTCAGTTTGCTGCCTATATCTAGGTAGCATCTGGAGACTGGGAGTGTTTATTCATGACAAGCTCTATTTCTTACAGTTATTTCCTTCGAGCCACTATCAGCCGCCGCCTCAATGATGTTGTTAAAGAGATGGACATTGTAGTTCACACACTCAGCACATACCCAGAGCTGAACTCTTCTATCAAGATGGAAGTTGGGATTGAGGACTGCCTACACATTGAGTTTGAGTACAATAAATCCAAGTAAGTGTCCTGGGCACCAAGGTTATGGAGTAATTATTTAGGGAGGTTAAGATAGAACTTGATCTGAATGCAAACTGACAAAGAGCTCAGTGTCACTGCTTCATGTGACCTGCTTTGGGGAGGAATACCACAGTGAATATGTTAGGCTGGTTACAGATAGATGGAATAGGAAATATAAACTTTTACTTTAAACTATATTTAATTAAAATGGTATATTTAAGTTAAACATCCTAAGATGCTTTCAAATTCAAGCTAACTTTAAAATTGTTTTAGATTCAATGTAAAGCTATTTCTTTCTGTGGTTGATAATAATCAGAGAATACAATTCCATTATCATTTGTTTCCTCACTCTCTTTAGAAATCTAAGTGAGGAAACCAAACACTGACAATGGTTTGCTAAAATGAATTGTGGAACGAACACCTGATATATTTTTATAAAGGTCTTAAGATAGCTTTATTTTTGCTGGCAAGTTGTGAAGCTGTGTATGTATTAAAACTGTTTACTATAAAAATATCAAAATATTTAATTGCTTATAAACCACAAAACTTTCTGGCAATCTGACAGTTTCAGGGCCATCTTTTTTTTAAAAAAAATAGTATATTCCAGAAAATGTTTAAAAATCAAATACCTGAAAGTGAAAAGGATATTCTGGTTAGAGTTAAAAAAAAAATGTCAAAGTCTCTAATTACATTTCTCACTGTGGTTCCCCCATGCCCACTGTGAACCAGAGGCTAGGGGTAAAGGGACCTGAGTCAGATGATTTGCCTTTGAAGGGTAATGGAATTTTTTAAACCAGGAACATAGTTGATTCCTGGAACAGGCATGAAAGAAACATGGATTTTTTTTTCCTCTGTCCCTAGCCTGGAGCCAGGTGAGTCCCCATTGAAATGACTAGTATGGCCTGGAACCAACCTGGCTTGGCTTGGCCCACCTGTGGAACAGGGAATGGGGTGCTGAGAGGGAGGCTGATCTGGGCCCAACATGGGAATAGTCTTCTCTTTTATCATCACTGCCTCAGGGCTCTGTGTGGTCCTATACTGTGCCCCAAATACCTCATGAAGGCAGTGGCTAGCAACATTGCCACCTGTAAGAGCTGAAAATAGCCATTAATTGGCAGTGTATAAAAGATGAAATTTAGTGTATAAAGGTGCAGTTACATGCAGTCAGGGGATGAATATAGACCACTGCTCTTCTTGCAACAGATTGTATTATATGAGAATATATATAATTTATTTGTAGTAGAATAAACCCAAGACTAAGAATCAGACTCTATTCTGCCATTAAGAAATTTGGGTAAGTTGGGCACAATGGCGCATAACTGAGATCCTAGCTACTTAGGAGACTGAGGCAGGAGGATCACAAGTTCAAGGCCAGGCTGAACAATTTAGCAGGACCCTGTCTCAAAATAAGGACTGAGGGTGTAGCTCAGTGTTAGAGTGCCTGCCTAATATGTGCAAAGCCCTAACCTCAGTCCCTAGCACAGGAAAAAAAAGAAAAAAAAAGTTTGACTAAGGTTAGCCATTTTTCATAACTCATCTGAAAAATAAGGAGTATGGACTAGGTCAATGGGCTTCAGACACACACAGTGTGAGGTGAAGGAAAAAAACAGGGATCAGGACCCTTAGATCTTCCTCCTTCCTTCAACTATTTTTAATGACCCTCTCACAATTATGCTTCTGTGTGAGATTTCATTTAGAAAAAGGAATGTTCCATTTGCCAAAGTTTAGAAAACTTTAGCATTCATGGTTTCGAAGCGTCCCTGTGAAATGTTGCAGGTGATTTCCTGCTGTTTTTGCAAGTGTGCTGAGCTTTTCTACTCTATCTGTAGTCTTCCCAACAGACTAAGCAGAAGAGTGCTGTGAAATAGTGGGGAACACTCAAGCCTGAGATCCAGGTACCTGGGTTCACCTCATGTCTCTGCCCTCTGTGCACATCCTAGTCAAATGATCTCTCTGTTCCAACTTGCTTTTTTTCACTTGGATTATAAGCAAGTTAAATTCTGAAGTGCCTAACAGCATCCATGTCCCATGAGTCTAAACTTCAGGTTTGGAGTTTGCTATCTTTCTGCCATACAGGGCTCTGTCCAGACTGCCAGTGCTATGGGCTGACCTAAAGAAAAGTTTGAAGAGTGAGAAAGTGTTACATAATATGGCTGAATTCCTTTTAGTTCACAGAGCACAAGTCATTGAGCAGAGCCCAGAATAGGCACTGATGCAGAGGGAGGGAGTTCTACTTCTCTCATTCTACTATATGTGCCTGGTTTGTCCAGTTCAGAGCAAACTGAAATGTTTGCTGTAAGCCACTGAGGTCCACTTACCAAAAGACAGAAAGACAGACAGACCTGGTTCCTGTGTTTGTAAGGGATGGCCTCTTAAATATTAGAAAAACACACATAAAAAACACATACAGAAATATAAATGGTGTGTGCTGGGGAGATAAAATTGATGAACAAATATGAACAGGTAAAGTAGCATATATTATCCTTTGAATTGGCTGTAGAAGACACTTAAGATTTAGAAAGTATAAATACAATGTTCTTAAAAAAAAAGAAAGAAAGAAAAGATTCATGAAAAGAACATACTAGAAAACCATTCTACCACAGGAGTGAGGATGGGAAGACAAGGGAGTGTGCCCTGAAACTGGACCTCCAACCAACATGCATGGCCACGGCAGTGTGCTCTCTACACAAACAAAAAGAGGCCATCCACTATGCCAACATCTTACTTTGCTTGTCTTTCTCTTCCCCAGATACCATTTGAAAGATGTCATTGTAGGAAAGATATACTTCCTGCTGGTGAGAATCAAAATAAAGCACATGGAGATAGACATCATCAAACGGGAAACAACTGGCACAGGCCCCAATGTGTACCACGAAAACGACACAATAGCCAAGTATGAGATCATGGATGGGGCACCAGTACGAGGTGAGTCTCCTGGCCCAGGGCCTCAGCTGCTGCCTTTTCTCTTCAATCCTGTACAGAATTTTGGAAGGGCTTGATGGGATTACACTGTTGAGGTGAGATGTCCTTTTAACCTATGACTTCTTAATCTCTAGTTGTACTTAATGGATGCTGATGAGGAGGAAAAGTAAGGCTGAATCTGTGGAATTTCTGGTTTCTACCCCATCTTTGCCAATATGGAGAACAGCTCCATGTTGACTTCCTTTATATTATTAGGCTTGTATCTCAGATTTAATCTCAAGAGTTACAGCCTGTTAGAAAAATATTTGAAAAGTACTTATTTAAGATAATTTGAACACTTAAAGATAGTTTGAACTTTTTCGTATTGACATGCTGTCATTCTTTGTAGCTTAGACTGAGTTTCAGGCTTAGTAGTCATTTTTTGTTACTTAATTCAAATTCTGGTACAATTATTTATTTTAATTAAATTAAAATTTATTTTTGTGATGCAAATATAGGGTCTTGCACATAGCAGGAAAATGCTAAATCATCAGCCTCTATCTCTGACAAAACAATTTATTCTCTGAATCCATTCACCAAGTATGAAAGAGAACTATAGGCCACACTAACCCATACTACCAGTTGCTACAGACAGCACTGGGAACCAGCTAGAAATGGTCCTCCCCCAACCTCCATGGAGGTAATTACCTCTAGGATTAGTGGAATTGAATTTCTTCTTTATTTGGGAATCTGTAATTATTTGGGAGTAGCAATCACTTGTATTCTTCATTGACTCTGTAGCAATCAATGTGTCTTCTCATTTTGAAGTGCTTGCTTGGTCTTTCCAAGATTTTATTTCATTCCTTCCAAGAGTTCATCCAGAGTATTCCCACAGTCCATTTCATGTGGAAGGAGGTGTGCCACAGATTAAGCAGCCCACAACCCTGGGGACACTTCTCAGCAGATTCAGGTGTCATTGCTCCAGCCCCTTGAAGAGTTGGGGCCCAGTTTTTCTCTTCCTGATATTCCATTTTTGGACCAGCTCTGCAAGTAAAGCCAACTATTATTTCTCCTTGACAAATGAATTGGAGCATTGGGAAATAAGACAAAATAGCAGATAACTCAAAGATCACTCATATTATGGGTTTGTAATTTTTCAGTAGAATTTCTGACCTAATTTTGTTTCTCTTTATCTAGGAAAGGTACAATATCAGAGCTAGAAGGGATTTAAAATATTGTGTAGTTGGATTTTCTCAGTTTTCATGTGAGAAAATCAAGGTCCAGAGAAAGCCACAGGTTTACTCAGAAGTCATACAACTGGTTAATGGAAAACAAGGTCTAGAATGAGAATTTCCTGTTTTCCAGACCACTCCCACCTGCTGTCAATTCACATTAGAGTGGAGATGTATTCTGAGGGCATATAGTAACCAAGATGGAGGGAGATGGCATTTATAATTGCTGAATGACATAGCAGCTGGGGTTTGACAACTGCCTCTTGAAAACCCATAACTAGGCACTTTGCTTGTAATCAAAATACGCTTAACAATAACATCCCTGTGGCTTTCATATTCAACTGTTCCTCCCTGTTTTCTGCATCAGAATGGTGAGAGAATATTAAGAAGACACAGCAATATTGAAATGAAACTGGAGTCACATTTTTGCTTCAGCAAACTTCTGGGCTGCAGAATGCAGTCTCAAAAGGCAGAAGCATTTGTTTAGGGTTCATGCCATGCTCAGCTGGCATCTCACCTACTGTGGTCAGAGAGGGATTTGATGTAAGGCAGTGTAGTTCACTTTGTACCTTGCCCTCATTCCTCACTTTGCTCCTTTACAGGAGAGTCCATCCCGATCCGGCTTTTCCTGGCAGGGTATGAGCTTACACCCACTATGCGGGACATTAACAAGAAGTTCTCTGTGCGCTATTACCTCAACCTGGTGCTGATAGACGAGGAGGAACGGCGCTACTTCAAGCAGCAGGTGAGGTGCTTCCACCAGGGCCCTGGATACCCTGGGGACAAAACAGAAAGGATATCATTTCCATGGAGGAATCTGTATTTTACACTAAGCAAAATGGTAAAAGAGCTGCTAAGTCTGTATGCTATTTGTTATTTTTCCAAGAGCTAGAAATATTAAGTTACCCAGAATAACACAGCAGGAATGACGGTTCCTACTTGATACCCAGAGTATGTTTTCTTAGGCCTGACTCCTGCAACTGCCACACTGTTCTGACCTATACCAGGGATGGGAGGTACCTGCCCAAGATTCCCCAAAACAAATGTGGGTGCCTCTGGGAAACCCATCTCTGAGCCTTCCTCTTAGGTATCAAGTTGCTCCCTCTCCCAATTCTGCAGGAAGTGGTGTTGTGGCGGAAGGGTGACATCGTACGGAAGAGCATGTCCCACCAGGCAGCCATCGCTTCACAGCGCTTCGAGGGTACAACCTCCCTGGGTGAGGTGCGGACCTCCAGCCAGCTGTCTGACAACAACAGTAGGCAGTAGGCCTCTGGGCCAAGAAGCTGCTGGGCTTCCGCCCCAGCACCCCCCGTCTACCAAACACCAGCGGCTGGGGAAGGGGGAGATGGTATGAGGCTCAGCTGACCGTTACTTGCAACCTGAAAACAATTCATGTTTTTGACTTAAATTCTTTTCTCTGAAGGACCTAAGGGGCTTGGGTTAGAAAGCAGTCTCCTTGGGATTCTGTGGCTGATGTAGGATAGGGAGAGGAGCATCCTGGAAGCTAATCTCTCCCTGGGGAATAAGTTGTCTGCTGAGGCCTTCCTCATGGGCTGCCTCTTATCATAGAGCCGAAAGCGTGTCCTTGGCTTCTAGTTCTCTGGGCTTCCTGATACAGGATCTGAACATGTCCCTGGAATTTAAATCTGCCAGCAAGGCCTTGGGTAGTCATTTTTCTTATACTCCCCTTGACTGTCCCTGAGGTAGTGGGAGGAGGATTTGGGCCTGTCCCAACTGAAGGGCAGGGTTGGGGGTAGATCAGGAAGCTACCTCTTTGGGCGTCTTGGATGTGGTGCTCTGAGGTTTCCACATGCCACCTTCTCTCTGGCCTTTCACTGCTGGCACCAGACACCTCCTTTCTGCATCTTCTCTGGCTAGTAGGAATGTTCTGGGACAGAAACCTGTGGAAGTGCCTGGGGTCATCTGTCCCTCACCAGTGAGAAATACCTGTGCGCAAAAAAGCTCAGAGGTTAATGTCATGCATGGATGGCCAAGAGGCTGAGCCAGGCCTACTGAGGAAGGGTCAAGGCAATGGCAACTGTCTGCTTTCACCATGTGACTGTGCTTGGCAACCCTGAGGTCTGGGTTGTTCTAGACACATTCTTCTATGTGCCCTAACAAGCCCTAAGCAAGAGAGTCCATTTTCTTTAAGAAGATATCCTGGAAAGGGGCCAGGATCCTTTTTGCTCTCTAACAGTGGACCCTCATCACTCCTTGTCTCTATCCAACTTCTAAGAATTGGGGCTTGATTTCAAACACTTTGAAATTTTGTTCTTACTTTCACCCCAAGATCCTTCACTCATCACCTACAAGATAAGGGAGATGAGGGCCCCAATAGCAGACTCTGATGCCACAAACTTCAGTAATTTGCTTGCCAAGTTACATCTTTGTCATCACCAGTTCACTGACCTAAGTTTAGGATCACTGTTTTTTTTTTTGTTTAAAAACACAAATATTAAAAACTCTGGTGGATGTAGTTATGCTAAAGAAAGGGGCAGATTTTCCTATTGCTCTGTGCTTCGGCCTATAGTAGTTAAAATAGTCATTGTCTTTTCTGCCTCACTGGGGATGACCAGGAATTACTCTTCTGTTGGCTTCCCTTCCCTTTACAAAAAGACCAATCAGACCCCATTGGCCAATATTTGGTGGCCTGAGTTCTTGGTTATTTGGACAGTAGAGAATTTCGTTCCTATCTCATGTTTCAGTTAGTGCAGAAAAAGGGGAATCCTTGTTTTTTTCAGAAATATGTGCAATCTTAGGTCTTGACTGGGCAGGGCCCATGGATCAGAGTTGAGATGAGGGGAAGACATTTGGGATGACATGTGGTTGACAGGTGGCAGCAGAATCAAAGAAGGCAAATTTGTTTCCCCCATGCCAGACCCTGAGTTCAGGTGCGACATACAATCCCCATGGGAACAGCATTCCCATCCAGCTGCCCTTGGATTGTCAAGGCTGAGGCTTAAGCAGAGAGGCAGATTCTGTGTTCTTGCCTTTTTCAGAATATGAGATTGGGCTCTGGTGTGCCTCCCTTTAATAGCTGGTATTCTAATTAAAAAGCATTTGTCAATTCCTCTGCTTCCCAACTGATGACACAAATTCATTTCCCAACTTTTCCTAACATCTTCAACCTTCCTTCTGGGAAAATTAGAAGATAGAATTTGCTTTCTCTCAGGAGCTGTGCACAAGCCAGGTCTTATTTTCTCTGTCTTTTCCCCCATTCTCTATTCTCTGCCATTTGTGAAAGTGAGGGGTCTCCTGTTCCCCTCCTTTAAGGTCCCCAGACCTGGGAGTGTATAGGTACTAAACCAAGCAGTGCAACTTGTAATTAAGAAGCTGCAGTGTTTACATGTTTCTTAATGTGTTGTCTTTTCAATGGCTGTATTTTAAAAGAACACTTGTTTTAATGGTCTAATTAAAGGAAGCCCCTGTGGCTTTGGAGGCATTGTGCCCAAGGTCCACCAGGTTCTGTGGTCTTTTCTGTCTTACGCTGCCCAACTCCTATCTTCAGGAAAGGTAGATGTCCACCCTAATTCCAATATAGCTTCTTCTCAGAATAGAACCCCTAGTGAGCAATGCTGAGCACTTTACTAACCACCTACTTTAGAATAAGTTCTTGGTTAAGAACTGCTGTAGGACCCAGAGCACTTAAAAGAGGCAGGCGAAGAAGGTTGGTATTGTGAAACTCCACATGTTTTGGAGGGTGTAACTGACCAAGGGACTCAGCCCTAAATCCTGCTATCTGCTATATAACTATGAACAACAATAAAGGCAGATGGTAGATGTGCCTTGGGTCTTCCAAATGACAAAGGGAGATAGCATGGAATTAAGAGATCTTCTGCAGTGGTGTATTCCACTATACCCACTTAAGTTTTAGAAGAAAAGCGTTCCAAATTTGACATTAAATGTTTTATTGAAAGAAGTAGGGAAAAAAAAAAATCTGTGTACATGATCTCAGGTAAATGCACACACAAGCCTTTATACACCATCCTTTGTCTAATAAAACCTCGCCATCTTTAGAGTAATGGTTTGTCCATTCCAGCAATACTGTTTCAGTTAACTTGGTTCCTTTTCCTCCAGACTCAAAATAAAATCAAACTCTTCTACCAAAAAGAACAAAAAGGAAGAATTAGGTTTCATGTCCCTTCTTTCTTGAACAAGGAAGTTAATACCCATCACTGATAAGTAATTTACATGTTGCCAAAATATGCATTCAAAAACTATGGAGTGTCTTACCAATGCCAAGCACTGTTGGATACTAGATACATAGTTATGGGTAACTCAGGACATAGTCCCTCCCTTGGTGCCACAGGTGAGGGCAGTGACTTAGAGGTTTAATACTTTGCCCAAGTTTAATCAGTTAGTAAATGTGAATTTGTGAGGTCATTTCTGCTATGTGGGTAAGGGAATGGGCCCACTCTTACCTTGGGTGAGGGGCTGGACTGAGAGCCTCTGGCGAGTGAAAAGAGCCATATTTTTTAAGGGGCCACCAGTAGCCTTGTGAGATTGGTGATAGGTTTTAAGCTCAGCCAGGGAGATGAAACGCTTCATCATTCGAATAAACTGTACATCTACCTAGGTGACAACAGTTTATTGAACAGGAAGATATGGTTATCCAAACTCTACCCACTGCATTTTTTTATTTTTTTAAGACATGGGTTTCACTATATTGCCCAGGTTGGGCTTGAAATCCTAGACTCAAGCAATCCTCCTGCCTCAGTTTCTCCATCAGCTGAGCATATAGTCACACGCATGCCATTATGCCCACCCACTGTTTTTACTGCTTGCGGGAGGCTCCCATTGGCAGCGCTGCTAATGTTCTGCTCTAACCTCCAAAAGTCAGTGTAATCTCATGTGAATAAGAGCTTGACCTAATAGCACCACACACCTTCCTCCTTCCTTTGTCCATCATTCCCCTCTCATGAAACAGGAAGAATTGTCTTTACCATGGACCATTTGGGGTTGTCCTCTTTGCTGGATGGGTCATAATGGGGACTGTTTTTCTCAAACTGTGTGTGGTCTGGGTAAGCCTCCTTTACAATCTGAAACCAAACCCAAAGTCTCCAATTATTTGCCTGCCTGGTCAGCTCCATGGCCAATCTTTAATACATATCTAACTTTGACTTCTTACCCTACATATTCTTACTCCATCTGCCTTGCTCTCATTAATCAGGATTCAAATATCTAGAAATAATACATAGCCTAAGGAAGTACAGTTAGGAAATCAATTATTTTTTAAATATAAAATTTTAGAAGCATATTCTAAAACTCAATGGTAATGTTTATCATTGGTACTTCCACCCACCGCACCAAATGCAGAGTCAATGATTTTATCCTGATAGCTTTTTTATCCTGAAAGAGCTATCAGGCTTGTTTCTGAGTGAGAAACCAAGGATTAGAGATGGAGAAAAATGCATGCTAATGGGCCTTAAATGAAGGCCTACCTTTTTCTAGTCCTTATCATATAGAAAGGGGCCACAGCAGTTTTCTCTCTGTTCTTCTGACTCTGGTCTTTAATATTACCAATTTATGGTATATCACTTTAAATATACATGAATAAGACACTTAGTAGGGAGAGAAATTTAGACTAAAACCTGTCCATCTAACCTTCATAAGTCCTACAATGCCTGGTTCTTTGCAGTTGCTATGGTAGAAGAAGGCTTCTTCCTCCAGCTTCATGGCTCTAAGGAAGTTTCGTGCCTGTCCCAGGAGAGAAGAAATAAGGATTATCCTTCCCACCAGTGGGAAGTACTAGCTTTAAACAGAAATTAAGTCTACTTTCATTAGTAGGGCTTTTCTGTTTTTAATTTCCCCTCAATTCATAAGTCTGTCCCCTTTGCTGAGACTCCCAGATTTATACCAGGACACTGGTTAGAACCAGGCCATTTGTAGATTTCATAAAGTCAGAGTAATTCACGTATTTCTGAAAACACTTTCAGGTAAGGATTTAAGTATTCTGGGAAAAACAACTTTGGCCAAAAGGTTCTGCAGCTGAACAAGTCACAAGAACCAGGCAGGCATTTATCCTGCCCTAGGTCTCAGAATTCCTGCCTTTTATTTGTCCTCTTACCTGGTAGTTACGAACACCATCCCAGCATGCTGTCTGCATGGGCTGTGCTTTGAGATCCTCAATGCTAAACTAGGTAAGAGAAAATAAGCATTCACTAAACAATCCTTGGCCAGTTAATAGGCATATTTGGAAGTGGACAGTCCCTTCCCAACATTTAGAGGTGCTACAGGCTATAATGGAAATATGTAAGTTCATCACAGAGCCACTGATGATGAGTGAATGTAGGTAAGCCTTGTGTTATACTGTTATCTCTTCTAATTAAAAGGACCAGTTGAATGCATAATCCAGATGCTAAAGTAATCTGTTGGTTCTCTACATTTTACTTATTAAAGTATTATATATTTCTTCTATAATATTTCTATTTGCATTTTCTCCAGGCTATCAAAATGGGTTTATATTCATTCCTTGAATATATACCAACTGCTGGCAGGGAGACACCTAGGAGCATGGCAAGTGGTAAGAATAAAGCAAGCTAAGATTGAGGTTGGCAAATTACAACCTTTAGGCCAAATCTAGTCCCATACCTCCTTTTATAAATAAAGTATTATAGGAACCAAATCTGTTTGTTTATGTGCTATTTGCACTTACTTGCTACGAGGGCAGAAATGAAAGAATATAAGACACAGTAGTCTACAGTATTTATTGTCTGTCCCTTTGCAGAAAGTCTGCTAGCCCTTGACTACATAGAGGATTCATCGAACAATTAAACAGATATAGGCTAAACATGCCTAATTAAAAAATATGAATGTTTTGGACTTTGGAGCATTTTGGATTTTAGATTATGTTTTGGATTAAGGATGTTCAATCTGTAAAGTCTAAACAAATATTCCACAATCCAAAAACTCCAAAATCAGAAACACCTTTGATTTGAAGCATTTCAGATAAGGGATACTCAATCTGTACTTGATGGTAATAAATTCTGTTGATTTTATTCATTTTTTGCCTTTCTTACTCTTTGAAGATGAGATGCTGGTGATGGAACCCAATGGTATCCCATAATAACCTTTCATTTTTAAAACAGCATAATGAGATAGGACAAAGGTACACAAGCTCACCTTCACATCTATACCTTTGTCTAGTCGGCTCTCTGGCTCTGATTTCATCAGCCAGTAGTTGCTTAGCTTCTTCCCACAGTTTTTAAAGACTGAAGTGTTCTGAGGGCTGGAGTTCTCCACTTTTGCTGATGCCTCACCTGAGTTCTCAAATTTGGTACGTTTTTCTGATTGCCCCTTCTTTTCTATAGGAGAAACAAAAAGCAAAGAACTATCAATGCTTGCTGAGTGGTAATGTGCTATTGTGCAGTTTACCCAAATCCTGGATCCTGCAAAAACTAGCTGTAGCCTCTAGTGTTATACAGAAAAAAACTTCAGTTATCTATAAAAACTGGAGAAGAATACCTGTCTTTCAGGATATATTCTGGATTATGATTCAGTGAGAAAAAAACACCTTAGAGGATTAAGACTAATGGGTCCTAGTAGCAGTCAATAAATGTCTCCTTCCCTCTCTGTCTCTTCTGTGCCTTTACTCTGGCTACTCTTTCCAGTGAGGAAACAGCCAAAAAGCTTAGAAAATTCCTGGCATTATAATAAATGCTCAATAAATATCTATTATTGTCATCATTTCATTCATCCTTCCCTCTTGCTCACTGTACTTTATGCTTGCCTTTTTGCTCTTCAAGATGCAAAGAAAAACTGGAAAAAAAATGATTCATCTGGGTCCTTAAAGACATCCGTAAAGACTGGGTTTTGTTCTAAGAGAATTAGAGAAAATGTGCCTGGGATACAGTGAGTCCTCAAAACTAATAGTTGTTAAGTTCATACTATATCCGAGGCCCCTAGCTAGACTTGGTGGCGCACACCTGTAATCCTAGAGGCTTTGGAGGCTGAGACAAGAGGACTGCAGGTTCAAAGCCAGTCTCACCAAAAAGTGAAGCACTAAGCAACTCAGTGACACCTTACCTCTAGATAAAATACAAAATAGAGGCTGGGAATGTGGCTCAGTGGCTGAGTATCCCTTAGTTCAATCCCGGTACCCACCCACCTCCAAATCTCTATCCAAGGCCCCAAGCTATACATGTTACTCTAACCCTAACTCAGTTAATCTACATAATGTGTGAGATATTCTATTCTTCAACTGGAAAATGTGCTCCAGATCACAATTCAGTTATGACAGAACCAAGATACGAGGTCAGGGCCTACCACTCTGGTCTGTCTGAATCTATGTTTAATGACTGACTGTACTGTACTGTCTCCAAGTTTAGTAAAAGTTTCAACATGTGAGGTTAAAAGATTAAATTAAATATCATTTATGGATGTCTAAATCTCTGGACTCAGCATACCTTCCTTGCCCAACTTCTCAGCAGTCCTTAAGAGTTAACAAGCACACTGCAAACACCATGTGTTATTAAATAACTATGTATTTTAGTCAATCTGGAACTCTTGCCATTCCTAAGAGTCACCTTCCACTGCTTTATTTCTGCCTTTCATCCACTTAGCATGCCATTCATCTTTGTGAATACAGAAGTGACATCACATTTTCTGGGTACTAAAACTTTGCCTGTAGAAAGCCTTCCTGTTCTTTAAGTCTGGACTCAAATTCCACTTCCTTCCCAAGGCTTTCCCTAGTATTCCTGGCTCTTCTCATACCTCCAATAATTCAGTCTTCCAGGCCCTTTCACTTACACCTGTTTGCGTTTACCCTTAAAAATCTTTATTTTTTTAAAAAATATTTATTTATTTATTTTAGTTTTCGGCGGACACAACATCTTTGTTGGTATGTGGTGCTGAGGATCGAACCCAGACCGCACGCATGCCAGGCGAGCGCGCTACCGCTTGAGCCACATCCCTGCCCCCTTAAAAATCTTTAAATTTTAAAATTAAAAATTTTAACTGAGGCATAAAACATGTACACATCAATGGTGTTCCATGTGATGTTTTGATACACATATACATGTAATATTTAAATTGGGTTAAACATATGTCTCCTCAAACATTTATCATTTCTTTTTGGTCAAAACGTTCAAAATCCTTTATTCCCACTTTTTGAAGTGTACAGTATATTATCGTTATCTATAGTCACCCTACTGTGTAATAGCACACTAGATGTTCTTAATCCTACTTTAAATTTTAGAACCCACTGATCAACCTCTCCCCAACTTTCCCGTTTCTGGTAAGCACTTTTCTACTGTCAACTTCTACGAGAAAAGCCTTTTGAGATTCCACATATCGTACTTTTCCTTTACTTAATGATATCCAGTTCCATCCATGTTGTCGCAAAAGAATTATATTCTTTACCCCAGCGCATGCCATCCATAACGCAAATATCCTTAGTTCACTGGATGAACAAGCAAGCTGAAAGGGCGTTGGGTAGAACCTTGGTGGGAAAAATAAAGAAAATGAAAGGTGATAAAGGATGATGGGATAACAGACAAGTCTCAAAGGCTTCTCTCCACAAGCAGGAAAGAATATGAACGGTATTAAGCTGGCCCTAGAGAAACACTCTTTTGGGGGTCGCCTCTTTGCAGGCTCAGTGCAGCTCACCTGGGCCAGCAGCCCCAGTTGGTCTCTTCCGGGGTCTCGGCATGGTCTCTCTCTGCAGGGGGCTGAAATGAAGAGGGTTCTGAAATCCAAAGGGAGATTCAAAAAGGAACTCCACTGCCCTTCAAAACCCGCGCAGAGCAAGATGGAGACGTCGCGAGGAAGTCCAAAGAGTCTCCAACTTTGCTAAGAGCAGATAATTGTGTTTAAGGGTTTCATATTCTTCCTTCCGTTAACTGTGCCATTTCCATCTCGAATAGCCTGCCGTTAAACTCTTCCCAAGCATTCCCTTGAGCCCTGCTTTATCCCCTTAACTATTCTTTCACAACACCAACCCAAGCTCCGCAAAATGGACGGCCAGGTGCCCCAGACCCTCAGGGCGTCCCAGGGGCTTTGTGGCGGACACGCCAACGTTGCGCCGAGGCCCCAAGCATTTCTGGGAGTTGTAGTTCAGTTGCCTGTCTTTCTGTTTGACATCACGGCTGCGAAGGCTTCTGAGGGACTACAACTCCCAGGGTGCAGTGGGGGCAGAGGCCGCCTGCTGCAGATCCTTATTGAAAAGAACGTCGTGGAGCTCTTGGGCTCACTGGCTCTGGCTAAGGCAAGAGCAGTGGCGATGTGGTGCGGATACCGGAACCTCGGGGTGCGCCTCGGGCGGTTGCGTTGTAGTCTCCCGTCCCCCATCAGCGGCCACCGGAGCTTGACCTCCTGCATCGATCGTAAGGCTCGCCTTGGGCGAGGGGGGAGCTGGACACGGTGTCTGGAACCCGGGCGAGTATCGGCAGTCTCCCCACTCCGGGCCGCTCCCCGCTCGGTCCGGTGACTCAGACGCGCTCCGCGCTTTGTTCTATGACTCTTGCACCTTCTCCCCGCTCCGTCCTGTCGCTCAAGGACCCGCTTAACGGACTATTTAGTCGCCCAGAACTCGCTCCCCGATTCGTCTCCTAATTCCTGGGCCCGCCCCCAGCTTGCCAATCCATCCTGTAACTCTCGGACCTGCCCTCCGCATGGTCTGTTCTCGGGGACCTGCTCCCCGCTTTGTCCTGTCACTCCCGGACCCACTCCCAGCTCCACCTCATCATCTCAACTCGGTCCCTTGAGCTCCTGTCTCGTCCTCAGTTGTGTTATGCCCAGTTCCATTCCCGCCCTGTCCCGTGACCCCTCACCCTGTCAGGTCACCCTCAGCCGGGTTCCCATTCCCTTTCCTCAGCTTGATCAGGTCCCTGCTGCGTCCCATAATTCCAGGACCAAAGAGACCACTCTCCGCTCCCTCCTGTCTTTTTGAGACCAGCCCCCCACACTATCTACATCCTGTCACCCCAGACTTTGTAGGTCACTCTGTGTGCTTAGAGAAGTAAAGGAACTTGTGGCTTTTTTTTTTGTTTGTTTCATCAAAATCACCAATGAGAGGTTCTAAAGGTAGTGGGAATGTAGAGCTGGGTACTTGTCGCGATGGATAAATAAAAGCTCCAGGTAATGCATCATGTGTAGATTTCAAAACTTAATACCTGTATTAATAAATAAACAATAAAACACTTGTGCTGTTGAAACAACTGCAGGAACAATAACTGTTATTGCAATTGGTAATCTCTAACGGGGATTACAGATCTTGAATGTCTTCAGGCACCAGGTGAATAAACCAAATATGATGAATGATTGCCACCCAAGTAAGTGATACCCAATTGTAACTTCTCTGTCAAGTAAGGGATACCCAGCCAATTTATGACAATTCTCTGTCAATCTAACTTTTTTTTTTTTTTTGGTTCTCTTTAAATAATTTACTTGGGCTGGGGATGTGGCTCAGGTGGTAGCCCGCTCGCCTGGCATGCTTGCGGCCCGGGTTCGATCCTCAGCACCACATACAAAAAAGGGATGTTGTGTCCGCCGAAAACTAAAAAAATAAATAAATTAAAAAATTCTTTCTCTCTCTCTAAAAAAATAAATAAAAATAAATAATTTACTAATTTAAATAAGTGATAAGTTTCTTTATCAAACGAATTACTTAGTTGACAAAAGAGCTATAAATTTGTCACTAAGGTACATAACATATAAAATACTGTTCTCTTTTTAAGTCTTAAAACTCCTTCAAGAGGTGCTGCCCTTTTCTAGCACTTAAATTTGGTAAACAAGGTCACCCTGGTTGATAACAAAGCAAATAAGAAATTGGTCTTACAAAAAATAAGCTAAATATGAGTATTTCCAGCAGCAAACTTCAGCCATTAAAGGTTCTCTTTCACTTTGTGTGTGTGTTTGGGGGGAGGATACTGGAGATCAAACTCAAGGTACTCTCTCTTTCTATGCAAGCATCCTACCACTAATTTACATCCCCAGCCTTTTTTCACCTTTTTAAAAGAAATTATTATCTTTAAATTAGTCAAATGAAATCATCTAGTTGCATATTTGTACATCAAGCTAATTAACAGCCTAAGGATGTAGACCAGTAGTAGAGTGCTTGCCTAGCATACTCAAGGCCCTGAGTGAGTTGGCTTCCCAGCACTGCACAAAAAATTAAAATAAAAATAAATATTAAAATGCAGCTAACTGCATTTGATTGTTTTATTGCATATTTTAATGTTAATACATATATCTGATTGTTTATTGCATATTTTAATGTTAAAAGTAAAGTTTATTTAGTTATTGAATATTATTTCTTCATATCTTAGGTGAGGAAATTTGCTTAATATCTAATTCAGTCACCTCATTTTATAGTAGGGTAACTACTATAGATTCCTGTCATTATTTAAAGATTTGTGGGGGTTTTACTTTTTGCTTACCCTGAGTTGCTATACTATAAAGCCTTTCCTTATCTCATTTGGTCTGTTTTTCTGTGTAGCTTTACCATTTATGTGTATGTGTGCATTGGGTGCGCTGATACCTTAAACTCTACCCAATAACTCTCGAAAAGTTCATGAGGACTTTTGTTTGTTTTTATAGTGTATTTTTTCTGGAGATATATAATATATATATAAATATATATATATATATACACATATATATATATATGTATGTATGTTTTTACTTCATCACTATATTTTCTTGTATGTAATTTAATTTTTTTAAAAATTTTTATTTATTTATTTTACTTGTCTTGTCAATGGACCTTTATTTTTTATTTATATGCGGTGCTGAGAATCGAACCCAGTGTCTCACATATTTGAGGCAAGCACTCTACCACTGAGCCACAACTCTAACCCATGTTATTTAATTTTTAACTTGATTTTCTCTTTTTTTTTTTCTCGAAGTTGTGCTCTCTTTTTATTGATCATTTCCTTCTCTAAAATTGACTATTTGTTGTTTATCTAAAAAGAATGTGTTATTGTATTGTGTTTACTTATGTACATGATTTAATACTCTTCCCTATTGTTTACTTAGAAAACAATTCAAATCTATTTCTTTAACCTTTGGTTGCTTGAACTATTTGTCTTAGGAAGTAACCATTTACTCTGTCAAAGAAGAAGATGAAGTTTTCTTAATATTTATTGAACTCTTGCTAAGATTAAAATTCTTTTTTCTTATTGTACTGGGGATCGAACTCAGAGGCATTTTAACCACTGAGCTATATCCTCAGCCCTTTATTGTTTTGTTTTGTTTTGAAACAGTCTAACTAAGGCATCTAACTTGCAATCCTCTTATCTCAGCCTCCTTAGTTGCTGGGGTTACATTGTGTGCTCTTGTGCCTGGCCTAGAATTAAAATTTTGTAGTACTTCTCTTTATACAATGTTTCCATTATCATTAATTATGTTATCCATTTTGTGACTGAACCATGAACCATATTTATTTTTGTAACACTGAATGTTAGATAGTAGATGCTCAATAAACATTTTAAAACTATTTTTTAAGTTGTTAATGGAATTTTATTTACTTTTATGCAGTTCTGAGAATCGAACCCAGTGCCTTACGCATGCTAGGCAAGTGCTTTACCACTGAGCCACAACACCAGCCCCAATTTTTTTTTTAAGTGTACACCATTCCCCTTCCCCCCCAGCATGCTTGGGATCAAATCTGTGGTCTCATGCATGCTAGGCAAGTACTCTACCACTGGGCTACATTCCCAAACCCTTATTTTTTTTCCTTTTATTTTATTTTGCGGGGTGGGGGGTGGGAGGCAGTGGTGCAAAGTTCTGGGAATTGAACTCAGGGTTACTTTACCACTGAGCTATATCCCTAGCTCTTTTTAATTTCTATTTTGAGATGAGGTCTTACTAAGTTGACCAAGTTGGCCTCAAATTTATTGAGACTGGCCTGGAATTTGCAATACTCCTGCCTCAGCTTCCCAAGTCCACTGGGATTTCAGGTGTGTGCCACTGCACCCAGCTCTTCATTTCTTTCAGTGTGGATTTATGAGGAAGAAATAAAGAAGATTTTTTACAGGTAGGTAGGTAGTAGGTAAATAAAGTCAGCCGATCCATTTGGAGTAAAGGAGGAAGAAAATGGTGATGTGTGCTCAGTCAGTGTCTTTATTCATAATTTTTCCCACTCTGACATTGTTTGTATCCTATTTCTATCCTATTTCTTTCACTGTGGCTTCCAACTCTTTTAGGTCTGCAAATGTATTTAACTGAGTGACTAAGGTAAAAGATGTCTGGAAAGCTACTATATACTGTCTTAGTTTGATCTGAGTCAACAGAGAAATGGATTAGTGATGAATGATATGATTATCTTTCTGTTGAATGCTCTACTATGTATGGAAATTGCTAAAAAAGTTTACTGTTTTCGGCCTCATAGTGCTTCTTATTGTTGATTCTATTCTCTGACTCCTGTCCTAGAATTGAATATGTGCAATTCTGCCCACAGCTTCCATGGGACTAAATGAGGAACAGAAAGAATTTCAGAAAGTGGCCTTTGACTTTGCTGCCCGGGAGATGGCTCCAAATATGGCAGAGTGGGACCAGAAGGTAGGAGTTTTCCTTATGACTAGATGTTTCAACATGTGCCACATTAGCAACCTTTAACTTCAGCTCCTTATAATCTTAAATGCTCAGTGTCTGTTACCAGCTTTTAGTGCAAGTAAGAGGATTGGTAATAAATAGGTGATTTCTTTCATAGACGGTATCTGATCATTTTGTAGATACCTTTTTTTCCTTTCTTATTGAACAAATACTTAAAACTAAGGCGGTTCTGTAGATAATTAAAAAGGAAAACTTGTTAATCCTAAGAAAACAATTCTTAGAGGACACACATTAACCTATACTATTGTAGGATGACAGACACATATTAAAAGAAGCCCTATACTCTCCCAAATGCAAACATCCTGATCACCTAATCATAATACCCTCTAAAGGAGAGTCCATCTCTGAATCAGTTACTGATGACCCTGCTCTCTTTTTCTGTATGTAGGAGGTGTTCCCTGTGGGTGTGATGCGGAAGGCAGCCCAGCTAGGCTTTGGGGGGGTCTATGTCCGCACAGACGTCGGTGGGTCTGGACTGTCAAGGCTTGATACCTCTGTCATCTTTGAAGCCTTGGCT